AGAGGAATGGAATGAGTTCAGTGGAATCTGCCTCCTCCAAACATGGATCCTTCATCCACTCCCACCTGGAGGCTCGTAGGTGTTCACAAGTTGCTGTTTCAAAGGACAATCAGACTGATGGTTTCCTTAATACTTAAAGGATGACAGGTTCACCGGGGAGGGCAGGAGAGGGGGCAGGAAGTGAAAGAAGGCACACAAGGCTTGGGAAGACAGTAAATGCAGGTGTCAGCTACTGACTCGTTTCCAGTACCGGGGGAGAACCCACCTGCCGCACACCTTAAACAGTCCTGGAAGTGGGTCCTGCCGCCCTCGCTCAGACCTCCAGTGGGTCTCTATGGTCTGTCAATAAAGTGTGGTCATGTGCTAGATAATGACGCTGCTGTCAACGATGGACCTCATGTAGGATGGTGGTCCCGTAAGGTTGGTACATACAGCCTAGGTATATAGGAGGCTAGACCATCTAGGTTTATGTTGTGTTTACACAAAAACAAAATTGCCTAACAGCGGTTTCTCAGAACGTGTCCCCGTTGTTAAGCGACGCCTGTATGTGTGAATTCCTCACTAAGGCAGCTCGTCTCAGATCGTGTCCCCTGCCCTATACTATTGCTCTGGCTTTCATGCCTACAAACCTCTGTACATGCTCTTCCCTCTTCTTGGAAAGCACTTTCCTTCCTCAAGTACACTGGTCACAACTTAATTCAGAAGTCACTCTGTCCCAAAGTCTTCTTGGACCAATTTGAGGAGTTAAGAGAGCCCACGGCCCTCGGAAGACACCATTCCTGCTAAAGCTCTCAGCTCGGTTGGTCATTTGATCACCTGCCCGCCTCTCCCTGAAGAAGCTGAGACATGATTTCCATGAGGCTAGGGACTGGGTTTTAGTGATTTTTGTGTCTCTCAGTGCCCAGCACACAGTAGGTCCTCAACTGACCCCTGCACAATAAAGCAGTTATGGGGACCGGTTTACAAAGGTGGTGACCCCAGCAGGTCCCAGCCCAGGCTGTTGAGCTGAGTGGGTGTTCTCCTGGCCCCTCTTAGAGCCTCCTCACCTTCCATCTCCTCCTCTTCCTTACTATCAGGATAGTTCACTGGAGTATTCCAAAGACTTCCCTATTCACAGGCTTCTCCAAAGTGACCAGTCTCTGGGGGTTCAAAGACAAAATGGTTTGGAGATGCCACAGAAGAAAGGCAACATTTTTGGCCATTGTTTCTCAGAAGGGCTCTGTCAAGCGAACGTGTCCCCTAAGATAAGAACCCAGATGAGGGATATAACCTCTGTGGATAATACAAATGACCTCAACAGTGCATCTCAAATAATATCATCTGCCCAAATCCCTAGGTATTTCCAAGGTATTCTAGCAGCTCGAGCTCTCTCTGGTTCTATCTCTTCAGATTGGTGGTTTCTCAATGTAGTCCCTGGACTAGGGCATCCTGCATCACCTGGAAACTTGTTAGAAATGCAAATTCTCAGGCCCCACTTCAGACCCGCTGAATCAGAAACTCCGGGGGCAGGGGCCAGGAATCTGGGTTTTATCAAGCCCTCAGGTGACTCTTACGTGCACTAAAGTTTGAGAACCACTGTTTAAGACTCTGGCGAGACCACAGGTACAGCCTCATACAATGCCCCATGATTGAAAGTATAAACTAACCCAAGGAAGATGGAACACAGGTTCATAAAGACAGCAATCTGTCCTTCTAGGCAGTACTGTCTCAGCGACCTTTCTGTAGAGATGGAAATGTTCTCTATCTGCACTGTCAACACGGCAGCTACTAGCCATGTGTGGCTGTGAGCATTTGAAATACGGCTGCTGGGACTGAGGAACTGAATTTTTAAGTTTATTTAGCTTAAATTTAAATAGCCACATGTGGCTGGTGGCTGTCCCGCTGGACAGTGCAGTTCTAGAAGGTGACAAAACCATATAAAATCATATTCAACCTAGTTCCTAAAATCCCAGCAATAAAAATCTTTAACCTACATTCTCTCAGATTCTGCCTTATTTCATTGTATTGCTTCCTCCTGTATAGTACATAACATATATACAATTATAAATATATAATATATATAATGTTTAATATTTGGCAACTGTCCTTGGATTAACCTAGTTTTCTCATCTGTGCAATGGAAGGTACTTACTCACTGATTCATTCATTCATTCAAAGATTTACTGCTTACCCCAAGTTTGCTCTACCTATCAAATTAACGTTTGGAAACTTTTCTCAAGCAGTTTAAAGCATTATGTAAAGTAGCATCATTCTTTCTGTATAAATTTGACAAGACTTTAGGTATATGATTTGATCTGAGGTAAATTAGAATTCTGGGGGCAGTAAACCATGTCGTTATTGTGTGCCCAACAATGCATCTTTAAGATTTAAAGGAAAAGCTGGGGCCAGCCCCGTGGCCGAGTGGTTAAGTTCACGCGCTCTGCTTCCTGCGACCCAGGGTTTCGCTGGTTTGGATCCTGGGTGTGGACATGGCACCACTCGTCAGGCCACGTTGAGGCGGTGTCCCATGTGCCACAACTAGAAGGACCTACAACTAAAAATACACAACCATGTGCTGGGGGGATTTGGGGAGAAAAAAGCAGAAAAAAAAAAAGAAGATTGGCAACAGTTGTTAGCTCAGGTGCCAATCTTTAACAACAAAAAAAAAGATTTAAAGGAAAAGGATATAATAGAAGTCCATCTCAAAAACCGGCAGAGGAAGTTCTTTGGTGATTACACAAATCTGTCAGATTGCTCTCTGGATAGAGGGTAGGTCCAGGTAGAGGATGGGTCTCATTTTTCAAGATACATGTGCATTTTCATCCTGCTACCTAAAACAAGGTATAACCTGGCCCTTAGCTGTTCCTCATAAATGAGTTTGTATACATATGATTAAATTTGAATTACAGAAAGACTATACCCAAATTTTGTTTAAAAATTTTATCTTAAAAACGCCTGGGAGGGCTTCACCAAATCCAGAGTGCCCCGAGCAGAGAAGGGCTGCTGCCTGAATGTCGCTTCAGCGGAGGGCTTCCGCAGGGCTTTCTCCGGCTGCTCACAGCTCCGGCCGACGTATGCCGAAGCCGAGCTCTTTACCAGGAAACTGCCTGGGAGGGCGACAAAGGCCTCTGCCCTCAGCAAGAACCTGGGCCCTAGCAGGGGCCAGCTCCCCAAGCCCCGATGGGACTGCCCGTGCCCCTCTGCAGTGATACCTGTCCCGGGAGCTGCAACACTTGCCTCTGGCCCTGACCCTCTCTGATGTGGGGCTGTCTCCATCACACAGGCAGGCAGCCTGGAGCAGGGCATCCACGTGCTGAAGCAGAGTGCATCGGTGTGGGTGGGAGGACGCTAGAGGATGTAGAGCCTGGGAGTCACTCACTCTCTTTCATGGTCTCCACCTCGAATGTCTGGGCAGCAGCAGAAAGGTGTGAAGCGGCACAGGAAGGAGAGGGTTAGGGGACGGGGGAGTTTGGGTCAAGTTAAGGTTGAAGTTCCAGGCAGAACCGAGGAGAAGGAATCTGATCAAGAGTTTGGTGGTATGCAGATGTGCTCTGTAAATTTAAATTGTAACCCGGGGGAAAACTCAGGTGTCACCTAGTCTGGGGAGGTCAAACCCATGCTATCCATCCTCTCCCCTCCTCCCTCACTTAAGACAGACATCACTAATGGACCCCAGGATGCTTTCCCGCCAAGCCTGGAGGCGCCTCACAGTCTGCAAAACAACAGCCAGGTAACAATTACCAACTACCCGGAGTTTACAAACCAGTAAAATCTCATGAGCTTTCTTGGTCTGTATCAATCCATCCACTGTACGCATGAGGAGTACTTCATAATAACTCACTTAATGCTCACAACAGCTCCTTGAGAAGGGACCATTATTAGCCCCACGAGGGGGATGAGGAGACACGAGCGTAGAGGCCACGTGCAGCTCGAAGGGCCCCCAGCTGACGTGCGGCCGTGCCCAGAGTCCCGGCTCTTCCTCTCCGTGGTGATGGGGCTCCACGTGGAGGGGGCCCTGGCTTTAGGCTCATTGCAGAGCAAACGAGCACATGCGTTTTAGAATACTGCATTTGTAGATGCATGAAACTCCAACATTTACAGGATATTAAAACTGTTCTAAGAGACAATCATGGTAAAGGTGGAATTGACTTTGTAAGCTTGCCAAATGGGAGTGTAAGAGCTTTTATGAAAAGTTTCAGAAATGCGGCTTACAAGGCAACGGTTTATGGTCAACTGCCTTTTGATCTCTCATGTGAAAAATATGTACTTACATATATTGCAGGAAACCTCACCACTTCCTTCCTAAGTGTCGGTCAAAAACACTAATTACTTGACTAATTAGACTGTGAAACTTCCCTTACAGATGGTAAAAATGAGCGATTTTCACCCCACAAATTTAGTTGTGATACACTACCAAAAAAAAATGTAGAAATGTTTCAATGGTTTTATTGTAGACAGCATGAATAATTTAAGCAAATCATATAAAAATAAATTGGAAACTAATGAGAATAGCGTGCTCTTTCATAGGGGGATAACCGAGTTCCGCGGAGTGGGGCACTCAGGCAGGAGGTTGCGAACAGGGACCATCTGCCCTGAGGCCCAGTGCCAGCCCTGCCTCCCCACCGCGGGCGGCCCCAGGAATCACCAGTCCCCACTTCTGCCTTGACTCGGGACTTTCAGGTCCTTTCTGCTCACGCTGCTGTCCTGTTGTCTTGGGCGGAGGCGGCCCTGCTCCCTCTGTGCCCTTGGACACTCCCTCAGGGAGAAGCGTGCACTCGCCCAGGAGCAGGGGGCCCGGCTCCTTCCGTTCTGCGTGTATAGTATTCAGACTGCCACATCAGCACATTGCCAGGAGAATTAGTGCTGAATAAAATGGAGTCTAACGCCACGTACCGCAGCTCAGGGCAGGAAATGCCTGACTAGCTTATGCTAATGCTTGCACGGGACAGCCACGGAGCCCTTGGTTTTGGCACCTACACCACAGGTCAGTTGAGAGAAGTGTCACCATGGGAGACACTCACCAGCATCGAGGCAGCCGGTAGCTGCTGTCCAGCCCATGACAGGCGGGATGGCCCCAACAACTGCTCCGACCCACGTGTTGGCAATGCTGATCCTCTTCAACGGGGTATAACAGCAGGTATACAGGAAAATGTTGAAGACCCCCAGGGCTCCTGTGAGTGGATTCACCCCCCAGGTCAGAAGGGCAACTCCTGGAAGAGCACAGCAGGTGGCAAAGGACACAGCTAGCAACGGGCTGGAAGAGAGCAGAGAACAGAGAGCAATCACTTTCCACTCCAGGCGACCAGCTGCGTGCAGACAGAGCCTCAGCCACCTCTACAGTGAAGCCACCTGCGAGGAGGCAGGGCTGGCGGTTTGGCTTCCTTCCTGTCCCGGGGCATCCTCTCTATGAAACTTAAAATGCGGAGGGATTGTTCGGCAGGAGCTCCAGCTGCTCTTCTTGGTTCTGCCAGCAGGGACTAAAGAAGTTAAGAGAGTCGAGGTTAGAGCGCCCTGGATCTGAATACAGGGTCCGTCCCCTCCTGGCTGTGGATGTCTCAGCCCCCCTTCACTCCTCTGTGCAGGAGAGACGCAGTGAGGACTAACGAGACAGTGCGTGCTTTACCAGGGTTCTGAGTTATAGTTAGTGTAAAGTAAATGACAGCTACAGATAAACCGCCCAGAACGCAATACTGTAAGATATGGGCAAACAACAGTAACTTAACTCTAGAAGCAGTTCTACCCATTTATTTATACGTTATTTAAAAATATCACCCACTTAGCAAGAATGGATAACAACAGTGTGCCTGTGTATATGCATCTGTCATAAAGCATAGGCTCAGTGTGGTACCAGCTCCATGCCAACAGTACAACATCGGGTGGCTGTCCTGCAGTGACAGTGTGCTTTCCGTTCAGTTTCAGTGCTGCAGCTTGGGTTATGGACATGGGATTTTCAAAAGAAGGCTTATTTCAAAATAAAACTCTGTAACAGTAATGATGATCAGATGCCCGATTCTCAACAGAGCCCAGTTTTTAAAGCCAGCTTTGTATGGAATCTTGTGAAAGACTTTTTGAAAGTGTAGATAAATTTGATCTACTCGTTCCTGATTACATGCATGTTCATTTATTCTTTCTTAGGAAACCTCGGAAGGTTCCTCAAGCCTGCCTTCTTACAGAGGTCATAATCCCAGCTCTGGGGAAACTGCGTAGTGATCAGTGATCCCACTCGATCGCAGATTCCACCCCGTGCTCACTGGAAAGCAGGAGCCACCACGTGCAGCGTGTAGGCCAGCTCCCCGGGGAGGCGATCTTTACCCGGCACACAGGCGAGGTAATACGCTTCCACTCACACGGCTGCAGTGTTCCCATGGCAAGAGCAAAGCCTGTCTGCGAGTCTGCCCCTTTAGGAAAAGGACTAACTTGCAGAATTATGACAAGTTAGATTCAGCCAGGAGTGGGGGTCAGGGAGTGGGAGAGCCCACCAGCTGAAAACACCAAGTGAAGTTGGGGCGAGAGAACGTGAGAGCTGGAGGTGATTCAGCCCCCTTCCGACATGGTGACCATCACTGACCCTCCCCCCGGGCCTGTGACCACACTGCCCCGAAGATGGAAGCCAATAGAGTGGGAGTTTTGATGGAAGAGAACATACAAGGAACACGTTGTTGAGGTGCTCACGACAGAAGAAGTGGGAGACTTCTCGGCGCGCGGTCAGCCCTGGGGGTGAGTTTCCATCCCCGTTCTAGCTGCCTCTTCTGAATCCTGCGGTCAGTGACCTCACACTTACCCCAGCACCCTCAACTGTTACTCTGCCCCGCCCTTCCCCCCACGCCCCAGGCTGACGATTCCCATTGCTGAATCTGCTCCTGCTGGGGACAGCCCTATGCTCCCGCGGACTGGCCCCGAGTCGAGAGGACGGCTTAACGGTGCTGGTGCCTGGCCGGAGCGGCCTTCCTTTCCTGTTCCGCGGAGGCACTGTGGTAGCTCCTTTTCGCGCCTGCTCAGGGCTCCACATTTACTCTAGCCCCTAATACCTCTCCAGAAGTCCTTCCCTCTTACGTGACGGTGGCAAATGCCCTCATCTTTACTTCCTGATCTTTCTCCCATTTTTGGGGAAGAGGCCATCTTCTCCATTTTTAAAGGTAAACTTTCCACTTCTGCTTTTCTTTAATCTCCTCCCCAATCAGTCTTTTATCTTCGATGTCCGCTGACTATTGACCTCCTGGGTCCTCAAATCCCTTACTTTGTCCATCCCCCAAGGTTCTTACTACCCCCTCTTCAAACCGAAGCATCCTGATGGCATAAGTGATACACGTAGTCTCTATTTCCTCCATCCCTCAATTTCCTGTTTGTTCCTCAACTCTACCCCTCACCACCTACTGACACCGATTTCTCTCAGGCAGTGACACACGCCATGTGACCCGAGACCACCTGGCTTCCCAATATAGCATACAATATAACGTTCCAGATGGAAGATCAGGAAGACACCCCTGTGTCGTTACATGTCACATATGCCCAGAAGGGAGAATTTAGATGGGTGAAAAGCAATGCAAATATTATAATTATTGTTCTTCTTTCCATAAGGTAGTTTATAGCTTATAAGAACAGATTTTTTCCCTTAGAGGACTGTAAAAAGCTAGTTTTATTTTGGGTGGGAGAAAAATGTGGCTCATAAACATTTTTACTTTTCCTGAATTGGACTTTATGTTAAAAAAAGGGAGGTTGTTCACTCCTTCTCCAAAGTCGTGGAAGCCAGTTGGATTCAAAGGTATTGGTGTTATGAAAAGCTCCTTTAGAAAAGCACACATGAATTTAATTTACTGAGATAGGCAATTTTAGATGGAAGTTTAGTTTCTGACCCTTGTTGGAATCAGAAAATCATGAGGTTCAATTTTGGAGTTTAAATTAGTGTGCTAAGGGGCACAAATGAAAACTGGGTAAGTTGACAAGCCACCAACAAAAACGAGAATATTTACCCAGGCAGCCATGGTCACGCTCAGCACCTGGGTACCTCGAGGACCCATCTGCCTCCCGGTACAGGGAGCCCTGCACGGTGACCACTGGGCCTTCTCACGCTATGGGAGAAGGTACTCCAACTGCAAACTCAGTGAAGTTTATTCTCCTGTGATGCTTTATTTTTCCTAAAACATATATTATAAAAGTAATACATATTCATTTCAGAAAATTTGGAACTATATAAAATTATAACGACATTTTAAATTAGTTATTCAGGGAAACATATTGGTTTATATCTTTCTAGCCTTTTTCCAATGATATATCTACTTAAAAAAATAACTGAGAACACAATGAATTGTAGTTTTGTTACTTTGTTTCAGTATATCTTAATAATTTCCCTACGCCATTAAGAATTCTTTTACATCATCATTATTAATAGCTACACAGCAGCCTATTCTGTGGACACACCATAATAAATTCAGTCCAGATACCCTTTCCGGACACTTAGTATTTTTCCTTTTTTTAAATTATAAATAATGTTGGGATGAATATCTCACGGACAGATCGTAGCTCAACACTCCAATTAGGATAAATTCCTAGATGTGAGATGGCTAAGCCAGATGACAGACACGTTCTTAGGGATTTTGACTTGTACCGCCAGTGTGTACCCCAGAAGAGTTTATGCTAGTTTACACTCCCACCAACAGCAGTGTATGAGAAAGCCTATTTCCGGGACCTGTACCAACACTGGGACGGCATTAAAAATAAAGCAAAACAAAAATTAACAAAGCAAAACAAGTTTATTGAGACAGATAGTATTATGCCCATTTTACAAATGAGAAACTGAGACTCAATACAAGTAGAATAACTTGGAAATGGACCCTGTGCTCAGGTTCTTTTGTTGGCTCATTCGTTTAATCCAGAGCGCCCCACCACTTGGAGTAACACGATTTACTCACTCTCTTATTTCCCGGGTCTGCTGGGGCCCTGGGGCGGCCAGCGTCTTTAGGCTGGTCACCTTCCACTGGGATCAGCCTTCTGTGGGTTCAAGCTCCTTCAGTTTACCTCATTGTGGAAAGAGCCTAACTTTCTATTACATTTCCTCAGATGAAAATGATTGGGAAGCACGAAATTAAAAAGAAAAAGGACAGACCTGGGATATAATGTGGTGTGCAAGACAGACATGGTCCCTGTCCTGGGGAACATATATTGGAGTGGGCGACAGAAAGGGGCAGTAATAGTCAAGTGTGGTGCACAGAGGGACACTGGGAGCACTAACCCAGCATCTGCAGGGGGCGGGTGGTGGACAGGGAAGGTTTCTAGGAAGAAGTGACATTTAAACTGAGACCTAACGGACAGGTGAGAGACAGGCAGAGGGCGGAGAAGAGGGTTTCAGGCAGTGAGCAGGCGTCAGGTGAGAAAGCACAAGCATGGCGGGCACAGCCCTGCGGCATGGCAGGAGGGGAGGAGGTGTCAGAGGGCAGGGGGTTAGGAGGCCACACGGAGGCAGGGCAGAGTCAGCACAGTTGTCTCTGTTCTTTAAATGGGAAGAAAATGATCAGGTCTGCTTGCAGAAGGATCACTCTGCCTGCCATGATGGCCAGCAAAGGTACACAAGCATTCACTCACCTACCCAGAGAAGCCCACAGGACGCATTTTTTGAGGAAAAACAGTAAGCACACCGCCACACAATTTTTATCCAATGCTCAGTTGAAAGAAACAGCATTCAGCTAGTTAGTATCTTTAATCTATCTTCCAGATATTCCAAAATACACTGGTGGAGCAAGTCTGATCAGCAGAGTGCTACACTCCCCTTCCCTGGGGGCTCCTGGTCCACTGGCACGAGGGGGACGAGGGCTGGCATTTTTAGCTCTATTATTCTGCGCTCTTTGTCTCTCCCTAGTCATATTCTTTCAAGCTTTTTTTGGATAATTCTGTCACATTTTACATACCTTTGCAAATTAACTGAAGCCTTGTTTGAAATAAAGTGGAGTAAAGGAGTTAACTAAACAAAGGGTAACTATAGGATTTTGGTTAGAATCTTTGCACAACGAAAATATATCAGTAAAAGAAGTGAAGGATTTTTTTGAAACTGCAAGTAGTAAGAGGACTGGCAAGAATAATGGTTCTGGGGTAAAGAGAAAACATATCATGTGGTATCTGGGTTATTTTTTAATTTACCATAAAATCTTTAAATATCATGGTGCTATTAAAATTGTTTAAATTTAGCTGTTTTAATAGAGATCTATTTCTGATACAGAAAGAGATTAGAAAAGTGTGTCCATTTCTCGTCTCAGTTGAACA